GTAAAAGACATCGAACTAAAATGGCTTGGAGTTGAATTTTTTGTGTCAAATGGAATTTTGGGCAATTTTGGTGGCGGTGGGGTCATTGAAGCAGAAGTTTGTCGCTTTATCAATCTACTCTTTCTGGTGCAACATTGTGGGAAGAAAGAAAAAGAAGAGTGGTGGGAAGATGCATTAAAAGCTTCATGAAAGAGCACAATGATTAGTGCATGTTTATGTTAAGTTGATAATACAGCTAACCTTTTGACATCTTTATTTATGGCACAAATTTGTCCAGAGCACACATATGAGACAGGAAAAAGTTAAAATCCCTAGATAGAATGATTTATGTATTTTAAGAAGTCATTAAAATAGTTGTACTGGAAGTTTCCTGTATGTAACATGGAGCATTAACCATAGGTACTGCTAGATGCACATTCATAAACGATATGGTGTTGCCGCATCCCATATGGGGAGAAAATAGTAATTATAGAAAATTAACTTTATTGGTATTGATTGAAAGGTAACATCATTCATATAAATTAACTGGTATTAGGACAAGTGGAATGGTTGATGCATTTGAACCTTTTGCATTGAAGGCAGTATCACTTGAAGGCTATTTTGGTGCATCTTGTCTTTGAAAATATGGCAGCATTTGCAGCAAACTGTCAAGCAGGAATTAGATCATGGCTAATCATAATTGATGTATACTTCGATGGCTTGTTGTTCCCTACACTACCTGGTGGGATGCAAAAATTCCATGAGCATGGTCAAATCTGTACTGCATGTCTATTCAAGCAACCATGTTTATTTTATAATTCAATGTTAGTTTCTTTATTTGTGTTTAATGGACATCGCCAATAGACAATCCTATAAGTGTAGTCTTTGCATTCCTCTGGAAGTGGATGGAATCCTTAGGTTAGTCTTATGTTAAAGGTTGGTTCATGATCATGACGTGCTACAAACACATTTTAAAAGTAAGATACAGATAGAGAAAGAGAGCAATAATGTTATTCTGCTTATTTTATTGTTGTTTGTCTTATTTTCCTATACCTTAGCTGCTGTTACTTTTCTGTTTGTCATGCTGGTTCGGTGTAGACATTTCTGTTTATTTATATCCTGAAACCTTTAGTTCAGTTGAGAATGTGAGATTTCCATCTCTCTTTTCTTCTAAAGGTACAAATAAGAGAGGATCAGGGAGCAAATAATTCAGATATATTGTGTATATGAGTTAAGGTGTTCATGTTTTCAATTGGTGATTTGACAGTAGCTTGGGTTGTAGTAAATCATAAATTTGATGCCCAAATGGTTATGGCTGTGAATGATCTTGTTGTTAGTAAATAATAATTTTAATGTTTTCTTCATAACATGATCTGAAACTAATCGGTTATGGTCTGTTATTGTTATCCATTTAATCTTTTGTTCCATATATTTTTCTCGAAGACTGATCTTTTTTTTTTTTTAACAAAAGAAAAGTGTGAAGGTGCTATTGGTTGATATTATTGTTAATATTCCTACTTTGTAGTTGAGAGATGTCAATGCGGATAAATATTTTGGCAATGGATAAAAAAAATATATAAAAATCAAACACCATTGTTGTGGCAAGACGTTGGTGTATGCTTTTTGATGTGAGCTTACATGAAAGAGAGATTCCATTCATATCAGTTTGACATTTAGGTATTTTATAGCTCTCATATTTGTGACTGTTTTAGTCAGGACTAAGCCAAAGATGAACAAGTTGAACCTTTGCAAATGTTCTTTATTCCCAAGCTATGAAGATGAGAAACATGTGTTTTGTTATTGCAATCAGATTTCATTCATATCAAAGTTGGGGTTTTCGGACATCATTTTAATTAGCGGGGAGGAAACCTTTTGTAGTTTTCTTTTGTACTGTCTTATATTGTTCCTTCATTTAGAAAATAAGCATCTACTTTATTGCATGCTTTTAAGTTGTTTCTCTCTTTGGTATCTCTTTATGATTTCTTCTATTTGGTGACTTATGGCTTGATTTATTTGGTACATTTATGGATTTGTCTTCATTGACTTTAATGCTCATTTATGCTATTATATTATAGAAGAATTTGTAAATCTCTGCATATCCCTCAAAGTTTAGGATTCCTTTTATCGTTTTAAGATTATTGTAGATTTTTATACGCTCTAAAACCTGTTGCTCTATTGGATACACATGGTGCATATGCATGCAGCATGTCGATCTTTAAATTTCTTAACTTTGGGATTAATATGTTATTTTGTGGACTTTCATATTCTAATATTCACTTGTGCATTAGTGGAGGTGTGTTTTATCTTTGAAATGGTTTGCAATGCTTCATGCAGGCATAGAAGTTTTTGTTTAAGTGTTTACCGTTTAGTATTCTAGATGTGCATCGTTGATTTGGTTTAACTGATAATGTTTTTTTATGTAGATGTCTCTATCAATTATATCGTGGCATGAACTTAAGTGTTCTTTCTATTTATGTTTTCTCTTATGCTCATGCAATTATCTGTAGCTTATGAACAGAGAGTCTTTTCCTTTTTTGTTCTTTCCTTTCTAAAGTAATGTCTAGTCATAGTTGATGAGTCTTATTATAAATAAAGTTTTATAATTCTCATGGAAATGAAGAATTTTGAAATGAAGTGTAAGATAAGAAATAGAGGTTCTTGATAAATTAGATTGAGCATTTGGAGCAAATTAGAGAAGTTTATATTGGCATCACTTTGACCTCAACCATGGCATGCCTTTCTTTTCCTTATGATAATTCATAGTTATTGTTGGAAGTTGGAATATAAATCATTTAGTTTTCTTTTTCTCTTTCTTTTAGGTTGACTTGCTAGTAATAGGAGTCTCATATAAAGATACTGTCCTAGTTCATCTTTCTATCTTTTATTTCAATTCAAGAGTGCTTTTTGCTGAAGAGGTTTTCATGACATGCAGTTTAATTGAGCGAACTTTGTAAATCCTGCAATTTTCAAACAAGTGGCATTCAAAATGTATAAAATGTCTTTTAAATAAGAGTAAACTATGAAAGCTGGAATAGTCATTTAGAGTTGTATATACAAATTAAATGTTATTGTTAATTGAATGGTAGAAAAAAACACTATCTTTTCTCGTCTCTTGACAAGATCTATTGATATAAAAAACATGGTTAAACTTTCAAGTATGATGAGAATTTGCTTAGAGACTCTTACAAAACACAACAGATCTGGATAACAAGAAAGCAATTTAAAGCCATTCCAACTTTGTACAAGGATAATCTTAAATGTTAGATTTGATTTTCTCATGCTGTATGTGTCATCTGAGTGCCAATATACTGATCTAGCAATCCATGTGAGATGTGGAGGGCTTGAATGTTGCCGTAGTCATTAACGGGTGCCTTCTTCGGTTATTGTTGTAGTGTAAAGCTGAAGAATTACCTGGTGCATTTGGCATTATTCTTGCAGTAGAAAGATTTTTGCTGAGCTTGGTAGAGATTATTTTGATTGATCTAGAGAAAGTAAGCATGTCTGGTTTGAAAAGCGGGGGATATGTGGAAATTGAAAGACATAATTGCTTTTATTCATAGCACTGTGGGGTGTGGATGGATGAGTGGGTTTGAATGAATGTGCACAAGCACACGTGTATTGTGTGTGGTGCTATGGTGCGTGTTTGAAATTTGATTATGA